TGTTTTTTTTTAATAATAAACAGAGTATAGTTTTTTCAAATTTGAAACAACCTCTTGTCACACTAGCCACTTTTGAAATATCTACTATTTCCATGAGTAACGTCTTGATCAATCCATAATTTCAAAAAACCACGAATCTGATACATTAGTTAATGACACATATGTTTTGCAATGTTATTTAAATCGGATTGTCACAACTAATGTACGTGCTATACTTTTTGCATTGTAGGAAGGTTACTTTAAAAATTCGCTATACTGTTTGCATTGTAGGAAGGTTACTTTTAAAATTTCTATAACAGGACACAATATTTCATTTATTATTGTTTGTTTATTACATACTACAATTTCTAAGTTCCCAAAACCTTTTCACCGAGCTCATCTCACTCAAATAGGTGACACACTTAATTTATCTTATTTAAAATACATGCATTAAATGATGAAGGAAGAAAATAAAGATTTTATGGAAACACCAACTAAGGAAATGAGAAGAGCTAGAGAAGTTTTGTTTGTATATACTATAAATGAATTTGCAGCTGATTCATAAGTACATATAATCCTATACTTCTACTCTCTGAAAATAATAACAATTTTAATATCAAAAATATAATCACAAATATGGTTTAGTGGCGATGTGCATAATTGTTTTTACAAGTTAAAAGAAACAATTGAGGACATACTCAATAAAGATAATCTGTGTTATTCGTTTTGCGAAAAATACAACAAAAAGAAAAAGTTATAAAACATATTGTATCTTGTAACAATTGCAACAAAGAGAATGCAAAACATGAAATGAGGTTAGACTTAGTATAAACTTGATTCTACATTTACTAAATAGGACACAAATTAACTTTAACTTTTAAATGACTCCCTTTTAAAAAACAAATTCTGCTTATGACTTCAAGTTTTTGGTGGAGAATAATATGCCCGATTATAGTGTTTGAAGCTGCTATTTGCTAGGCTGTAGCATTCAAGATTACACAGAATCGACATTTGTAAATATATGAACTGTATTTATACCTAAAAATCTTAATATCCAATGGACTCCTCCGCATAGATACGTTGTCTAAGTCATCCTAAGTTTTACAGTTATCTTATTGTAATACTTCATAGCACAAAAGAGAATAACTGAATTACCCTATTACATATAGATAATAATTGATTATTCAGTTAATTTTATACGATAGGTTAATTTTTAAAGAAAATGCTCCTATCATGGTGCAGAGAAAATTGGACCCCTCAACATGGCAGAGTTAAAGGCAGCAGCTTATGGATTGGAGTGGTGTCAACAACATGGCTACAAAAAAATAGCTTTGGAGGTAGATTCAGAACTACTATGCAAATGGATCAATAACACAACTCGCACACCTTGGAGATGCCAACTACCTCTCCAGCAAATTCAGCAAATACAAAGTAAGTTGGAGTATTTTCATTGCAGACACATCTATAGAGAATCAAATAGCACAGCTGATTTGTTAGCAAAATTGAGTCACACTATGGATATCCCTCAACACTTCTACACTTCACATCAATTAATGGGAGCTATTAGAGGAAGCTACATATTGGAAAAGATGGGCATCCGGAATTTTAGGAGAAGGAAGATCAAAAGAATCAAATATCCACCATAGAAGGACTTTAAGGAAGTTTTGAATTTTGTAAAACACCAAATGACATTTAAACATATCTTTGGCTTGTAATAGTTATTAGATGTGTTTTAATCTTTTATATTAGTGTAAAGGGGAGAGTCTCCCTTATTCAAGTATTCTTTGAAAGTTGTATTAGGAGAGGAGTCCTCTCTAGGATTTTCTTTCTTTTATATGCATTATATTGTATGAAGGTTAAATTGACTAATCTTAGTAGAGAAGTCAATTATAACCAACAAAATTTAGAAGGTAAGGTTTATGTCCCCCTTCATGTAAATTTGATTTTATAAATGTTAAGGCCTGGGGGTGATGCTAAGCCCTGACCCACCTCAAGGGTCGTTCAACTAAAAAAAATAAAAAATGGGACATGACTGATTTGTAGAGGCTATGATGAGAATTTCATGCATGCTTAAAAACAACAGGTCAATATGCCATAAACCAGATATTTAATCCAATAATAAAACTATCAGCCCCCCTCATCCCCGCGAAAATGAAGGATACCCTTTCAAATTTATTCAGAAACAATTTTCAATATGTCAATGTTTTTAAAATGATGATAAATAAAGCTAAAGGTCAAACGATGTCAAATGTAGAAGTATACCTACCACAACATGCTTTTTCGCATAACAAACTATACGTTGCACTATCTAGAGGAATATCCATTCTAACAAAAAAGTACATGTGATGACCGAAAAACCAAATTTATGTACTGAGACATACACAAGAAATATTGTCTACAAGACATTTGATTAATACCAAAATTATAAGAAATCAAACGGGAAAAACCATAAACCACACATGTAGCTAATGAATATTATATTGAATAAATTCTTAGGGTTGTCTACATTATTCATTTATTTTTTAGTTTCTCTTATAAAGAGTATAATATCTATTTACATTGGTTCCGCCCTCAAGTTTATTGTCTTGATTAACGAACACCTTATAATTAAGAGTAACTTACAAAAATGACTAGTTATAGGGTTATTTGAAGTTCAATAACTATAAGTATGTTATTTTCTAAAAATGACTATAGTTTATATGTATATCTAGCTGTATTTTATTTTTAAAAAATATTGATACAATGATACATTTATAATTATAATGCACTAAATAAGATATTTTTAGGTATGTTAAATGACTAAAATCACTCCTAAAAATTTGCCAGTTGGAATATGTAGTCTAAAGTGACAATCTAACATTATTTATTTTGAAAATTCAAAATATTTAAACTGAAGACAAAAAATTTGGTAAAAAGAAATTGAAAATCGAGAACACTTGTATGTTAAAAAAATATATCTCAATATTATAATTATACATATAATTTATAAAGTACATGTAGATGAAAATCATATACAAATAAAATACATACAAATACAATTACGTAAAAATCAACTAGTCTTCTAGTCTATTATATATTATACTTATACTTGAATACAAACACACATGAATACAAAAATATAACAATTAAATAGACTTTATTTCTATTGTATTTGAAATCTTTATTTGAATACAAATACAAATGAATTTAAGTTCATAACTATCAATCGACTTTTAATTTATATGTATTTGATACTTATATTTGAATACTAATATAGAGAAATAAAATTATATAACTACTAATTTGCTTTCATTTATAATGCATTTAGTACTTACATTTGAATATATAAATATAAGTGAATACATTTATTTATATATATTTATATATATACGAATACAAACATTTAAATTTATTTATATTTAAATACATACACATATATTTACATTTGAATACAAAATACAGATTAATAAAAATTCAGAACATAGTGTTTTGATTTAAAATACAAATGAGTACAAATACAAAGCAAAAGATGATGCTTTGTTTGGTCGGCCATTAGAGTATACCTTTTGCTAGCCTCTTCTTGTTTTTCACGAGAGTAAGAAGTTTTGGAGTTCCGTTTGGTTAATTCTAATTGAAATCATAGAAATTATTGAATACGGACACAAAAAGTTTTATCTCAAATCGAATTCCGCCATTGTAATAGATAAAATCTTCAATCGAAACCCAATAAAAAATAGATGAAACATATAGATATATACAAATATAATCTACATAAAAATATGAAAAAATGCAATTAGAATATACTTAATGAATGAAGATGAATCACAAAATTTTTTCCCACAATCCTGCAAAAAGATAGTGAATCAGAATGATTTTTTATGATATATAAAAATTTGAAAGAGAAAACATTGAAAAAGATAAACATGGAAACCAACACCGCAAAACATGCCTTACATAATTTATTAGGCATGTACTAATTACTTCGCTATTTAATATTTGTTAATATACATATAAAATTGGAAAAAAATTATTATTCATGTGTAATTGATTAACTTTTTGCTATTTAATATTAAATTTTATCCATATAATATAAAATAAGTAAATTATAGCTATTTATTTTAAATATATATTAATGTTCGCTATATCTTGTAGTTTTTCCTATAATTAACTCTCATAAGATGCATGTAAAAAGTACACGGTGCATGTAAACGTTACAATTTAATATCAATTGTGTATGTTGGCTCCACCAACTTCTAAAAACGAAAATAATTCAAGTTACTTGATATATAATAGGCTGAAACACAACAAAACATAATTATTTCATTGTCCACCATCAGTCATCCAATCAATTTTTTAGGGCCTTGCAATACTCTAAGACTTGTCTAAGTAATTGGTAATAGCTTCTACATGTTTTTTGTTTAATAAATTCAATGTTTTGTTTCATAATTTGAAGTATCATTTTAACATTGTTATCTTCTCCTATCAAAATTCCAGGAAAAGGGTGAGTACTAGTGGACGTCTATATATAGGTAAATCCAATCACTTTCACATACAAAATATACTGTGAGAGAAAATGATAATATATGGAGAAAATTAATTTATTCTAGTTTTGACATGATACACATTAATTAAAACCAAGATGTAAAGAGAACACTAGATCAAATCTTCATTCAAGATGCTAAATGAAGAAACAATTTAGCTAAGCTACAACCAAAAGTATTTATTTAAAAAAATCCTCAATTATATCTAAGCACTTTATATTCAATATTTATTACTATATATTCACGATCCCATTTTTTAGGTCATAATGACACCTATTATATTTCACATCCCGAAATCAGGGGCAACAAATATGGAGGAAAATTGAGGGGAACAGTAAACATTATCAAAATAGGAGAAGTAGGCAAAAATAATACAAAATAATCGCAATAGCTGACATTAGTTAGTAGTTGATCTTCTAATAAAAATAGGAGTACAAAACTTAAAGAAAAATAATTATATATATAGAGCTTTTTTCATAATAATACAAAATAAATGCAAGACCTAGTAAAAAACAGAGGGAAACTGGCCTATTCTCCATATCCCAAACACTGCTCCGCGTGAGGCCTAAATCAATGGTGAGAACTTGTACTATAAATCGTAGGATGTATGATTGTAGTGGTACTCACTAGGCATAGGTCGATTGAGGTCCAACAATAAAGACATCATAAATAGAGAGTATATAAGGAAAGTATAACACAAAAAACTAAGGAAAAGACATTATATAGTTTAATATGAACAACACTATAAAAGAATAGAATACAATGAAAAGGAGACCGAGTGTAAGTACCTGACCTGGTCATTATAATAAGCAAATAGTTAAACAATTTGGGTCAGAAAACCTTTCGGGTAGTGACTTAAATTTTGTTTGCTAGGCTAGACTCAGATGGAAACTGTGTATGGTCACATCTAGGAATATCTGGGAATGTGTAGTGTGCGAAATTGAGGTTTGGTTGATACTTTATTATATCAAAGACATTAAGGAGTCAGCAGAAATTTTCAAAATTGAACTCAGATAAGTATAACTTCCAAAATTTATTTTGGCGTGGACTATGTAGGAACATCAAGGGAAGAAGTTGTGCTTTATTTTCTCAAATTTTGAGGCTATGAAATTTCATCAAGCCCATTGTAGCAGGAGGCATTACTCTACACTGATGCTAAGACCACTTTAGTGGGTAAGTATTGTTATAGTGGCGTCGCTAGAGTAGGTATAGTAGAGAGAGAAACAAGATTTATATGGAAACAACCATAAAGACCCTATTTTCGACACTTCATATTCTTGGACATGGGAGGGGCAATTTCGGACGGTCTTCACTATTTTTCCATGAGATTCTTCGTTAAAGGTAAGATTTTGACCCTCAAACCTTGTTCAATAATTCTTAATCCTTCAAATATAGGTTATTACTCTTGGGGGAAGGTTTTAAAGTGGAGATGTTCATATCCTGGGGTAGAGTTAGCATTTGTTGACAATCTGGGTAAAATATAGGACATTAGTGATTGATCGTTGCTTTAATTAATTGTTTTATACTAATAACAAGCAAAGACACTTCCCAAGTTGAAACCTCGAGTTATTTAGAGTTTCTAAGAGGCTTGATTGGAGATAGGTGATGTTTGCATTTTCTGATTTTTATATGTATGCATGTTTGTTGATTAGTAGTATAATTTTTACAATGCAAGGTAGGAAGACATACAAAATTAAATCATATAGGTAATCTCATGCAGTGAACTTGTTATTGTCACTTGTGGTTTTCAAGTGGTAATGTTCATCGTACTATATGATTGTGCATTATTGTTTGTGATTGTTGGTTAGCTCATGTACCAAACTAGTACACCAACTACCGATTGCTTTGGTACCACACCGGTACACTAATTTTGGATGGATCGAGTACCACATCGTTACACTACTAGTTTGGGTTTGGGTTCTATAAGTGGACCATGTATGTGATTGTGGTTCAATGAGTGGACCGTACATTTGAATTTGTGATCATATGAGGACATGTCTGCACGTTTTATTGTCATTTCATGACATGTGAAGGATAGTCTTTATGGTTGGTATTTGTTGTTATATCTACTGTTCAGTGTTACCGCTTTGTTGTGAACTCTTTATATTCATATGTTGGATTCACTACAAAAAAATACATAAATTATGGAGGTTTTATCACGGAGTTCAACTCAACCCCTAGAAGTTGTATCAAATTATGGAGGTTTGATTAACCCCTGCAAATTTTTGGTACAGTTCTGGGAGTTAATAACCCCAACAACCTAAAAGTTGAAATTTTATAATATCTAGGCGCTAATTTTTATATGCCTTGCTCATTTTTTCTCAAGCAAAAAAAAAATCCGATTCTATTTTTTCGCCATTAGGACCGAAGATAAACTGAAAAATGAGATCTGTAGAATTCATTGTGGCTTAGCTACCACCGTGTTCTTCCATATTAGCAGTGGTTGGAGCAGCAAGAGATGGCAGGGAGTTGTTGGTTCATGGAGGCCATGGTTTATGGCATAATGTGATGATGAAAGTACCTTCAGTATTGTTTGTTCTACACTTGGCATTCAAGCCAAGAGAATCTTCTCGAAGGTTTTTAATGGAAGATCACATATCGTAGTTGCTCTCTATGTCATTCTCTAACTTGTCATCATCTTCTATTTCCGCTAAATACTCAAATTTTTTAATTTTTCGTTCTGAGATTTGTACATACATCTTCATCCACAATCAAGTCTCCAACGCTCTGCCTCCACACTTCTCTTTTCTTCTATCACTTCTTTGTTTTTTTTTAATTTAATGATTGCACCCTAATTTAGACACTGAAAGCTTTGAAGGTGAGCCTCCAGAGTTGTGAGTTCTCTTTCATCAGTTTCATGCATTATCATTCTGTAAATCAACTGAGTTTTGTTTTTCAACTTTGAATTGTTTCTAGAATAGTTTCGAGTATTTGTCAATTTTGGAGCAAAAGAAAACTGCGCAGTTGTACGTCCGACACCATGGAGAAGCTTCCACTAAGTATTTTTTGAATTTTCCCTAAATCTCAATTTTTTAGAGTTTCAATGTGGATAAACAGACTAAATAAGGTTTACGTGGAGGATAACATAGTAATTCATTTTTTATTAGATAAATTAACTTCTTAATTGGTTGTTGTTAGTGAATCTGGTAGATTTGAGAGATATGATTTAAGGTGGTGATGTTGGAGAAATGTGGTACTTGCTCTACTTGTTTAGACAACAATACAGAATTGAATCCTAAAACACACATCTTATTATACATTTTTTATGTGTAATTAATCTCAATTTGCTAGATGACTGAATAGGTATTTGATATTAAGATGAAGTTATTGTGATTTAACTTCTTCTTTACAGTTGTTCCTGCTTGTATATATATGTTATCCCAAACATTTTCACCTTTACCTTATTGAGGAAAATGTTTTCTTGAATGATGGTGTTATCTAGAAAATTAGTAAGTTTGATATGTAACCAAAAGATATTATCTTAAAACAGGGAGTATATATAATCTAGACAAATATTATTGGAGATGGGGTCAAGGGTAGGGGTAGGGGTAATCAGTGATCACGATGAAGAATGTTGGAGAGTTGAAATTACACAATCAATGTCGAAGCAATTTGTGAAACATGTTTTTCTACTTTTGATGAAGTATTTTCCTTATTGTTAAGGAATTTATTTTTCTAGAGAATATGTTTTCAAAATTTTGATAAACTAAACATAAAAAAACCGGAAAACATTTTTCACACCCTTAAATCCAAATGAACTGTATTGCTTTTTATAAAGTATTTGGGGCTGGAATTTTGAGTATCTACTTCATCAAAGTAATTCTGATTTGTGTAATTGCTATGTGCTTAATATAAACCTGCAAGATGAAAGTTGCTTTGGCCTTTTCTAAGTTCTAGCCAAAGTGGTTTCGTATACGTAAATCATAATTAGTTATATTAGGTGTCTCCTGGCCATCCACTATAGGTGTTGTTTCTCATAGTTTTTGTTCAAAGTAATTTGGTTTGCCTAAATCTAGTTTTAGTTGAATGGTTTCAGTCACTGGTGTGTGTATAGTTGATTCCTCTTCCATGAATTTATGTTTGTCTCCTTTGTATATCTGTTTTTATTGATGACATGCATATGGAAAATAATATTGAAATCAAAGGTGATATCCTAACTTGTATTGTGTACAAGATCCTGTGACATCATTATACACAGATATATTAATAAATCTCTTCACATGAATAAGAAGTCCTTCCTCATTTTTGTTTCACCTTTTGGTTATAGAAAGTGTGAAGGAATATAATTCATTCTAAGCTGTAATGTTGGCATAAGATTTCTTTTTCCTTCAAAGATCTATTCTTCACCAGAGTTCTAATTAAATTACATAAACCGTTTAAGTTACAGATTATTCTAAAGATATTTACTATTTTAACTAAAATTACTATAACAGATTCTATTAAACAAGGAACTGAAGAAGCAAAGAGAAATGGCAGCTGCAGCTAAGGAGGAAGAGAAGAAGACGTATAACTCGACTATTGAGTATGACACACCTTTAAGTTTCTCTTATGAGTTCTGAATGTTCAGCTGCCATGTTGCTTTATTTCTAGGTTTGGTCCTTTTATGATTTTAGATATTGTTGGTTTTATCTAACTAAAATATTTTATAGACTGCTCAAATCCTCAAAGATCGACCTTTTTGGTTTTGGGACTCCCAGAATCTTGAAATTTTCGTTATGTGTTCTGCATGAAATAGTGTTATTGAGCTTTTGTATACACAGGTGAGTACCTTCTCTTTAGTCTTTATGTAGGCAAGCTTCTGATTGGATTAGCTTCAGCATTGAGGGGATCAACTAAATCATTTCTTTCAGATATATGTTCCTATCATTCTGGCTCATGCAAGTGATTTTTGGACGTTGAGATACACAACCACCCTAGACAATGGTAGCATTTATGGTAAGAAATACTTCACAATAGAGTGAGCTTGTGTTGGTGACGTGGAAACTTTTATACTTAGTTCTTACATTCCATATTCAACTAGTCTTTTAGCATCCCAACCCTTCAATCCTTGGATTGATTCGAGAGTCTAGAATTTTAATATGTTTGGGTTATATTTAACTAAATGCCGCATTGTAATTTCCATCTAGACCTTTGAGGATCTAGCTACTTCAGTATGACACTTGGCTCCATTATTTATGATTCTTAATAGCGAATTCTATTAGTTGTGTTATTTCATATATGTTACTGACAATTTCTTTTTGTGTGTGACATCAATTCCTCCTTCTGACCAAGGTTAGTCAAAGATTCCTATCTGTTACCGGGCTTGAACCACATCCTGCTGCTGTTTCCCAGATTGTTAGAGCTCAAATGGTTTCATCTAGATATCTGATCCAGTCCTGTGACAATGGAAGATCAATCATATATATTGTTGACCACCTGAATCTTGAGGTTAGATTTTGTATACTACTGTTTACCTTTCTCGTGAACCACTCATTCCTCTGTTTGTTCTGCAACTCAGTCACTGGCCATGGTCTGGTCCTGTACTGTATTCCTCTTGAAGAAATGCTCAACTTCTCATTATTTTGTATCCAGTCTTCTTGTGTCAAACCTTTGCTTATTCTGGTTAATTAACAACACGTATACATATTCTTTGAGAATTGTGGATCCAATAGCTTCTACTCTTATCATGAAGTTGATTTATAAGTAGAAAGCACACTTTTTGTTCATTCCAATTGTTTGATGCATCTTAGCGTTCAATACTGTAATATGTGGCAAATGTTTGATTAAAGGTAAAATCTATATTGTTATTTTGTAGTAATATGTGCATCTTGATATTCGTTTTATTTGTCATCTCAAAGTTATCAGATCGTACATCTCGCGACTCGCCAAGATTCTAACGCACCCTTAACTAGTGTTGCTTATGATGTTGTTTTGTTGTATTGTGTTTAGCTCTGTTATCGGATCGATTGGTGATTTGATTTGAAACTAGCTAGAATATAGTTTGTTTACAAAATTCAATTTCATAAAGTAGTTTTGCTTTGCTAGAAAATTTCACAGCCAATGAAATATTATCTACATAAATGCAATAAAATTATTGCAATTCAAAATTTTACTACTTGAAATTAGAATGTATCTTTTGCAGTCATCATTCAAAATATCTCATTGTGTTTTTTTTTGCAGCCATCTGATGTAGCTATTGAATCATTTTCCTTCAAGCACGCAAGATCATTGGATGATAATTGTTGTAGTGGCAACCATTAGTGTTTTGTAATAGTACTATAAATTGTATGATCGATCGGATCATAATGATTAGAGTGAATGATGTATTTAGCAATTAATTGCAGTAGTAAGGATAACATTAGTGTACTCATGGTGGAGTTGAATACATTTGTATGGCATAATTAAGCTTTCACAATCAAATGATATGAAAACAAGTTTATGTTAGATATGTGAAGGTTCTCCTTAATTTTTCTTTATTGTTGGCAGCAATCATAAATTTATGGTTTTGTTAAACTATTGTTAGCTTAATTAATTTTAGGCTTTAGTCAAAAGCATTGTTTTATTGATGGCTAAAATATATAAAGATAATTCACAAATTGGTGGGGGTTTCAACCCCCGCTATTTATGAATTTGTGGGAGTTCAAACTGCTGCAAAATAACCCCTGTTGCTTGCTATAGGGGTTAGTGAAAAATCCCCAAATATTAATTGTGGCAGACCTAACAACGAGAGTTGTTGAAACCTCTGATACAACAAATCTTGAGGGTTCTTAACCCCCGCAATATGTAAAATAAACCCCTGCTATGTAGGCTTATTATTTTTTGTAGTGATTAGATTGTGATCATACTAGTGCACTTTGGTTTGAGTACTTTTTTTAAATCTTTTTTTCCTTGTTGGAGTATATGACATCTTCCTTTATCTAATCTAAGACCTTAGTTGAGGAATGCCTGATTCTAACTCCTAGGATAAGCAACATCTTTCAAGTTGCCATGAATTCTTGTGCATTTCTTGTCCATATTTTTTGGCACAAACATAAGACTTTAGATTTATGTTAGTTTTGGGTTTCGTCCCCAACTTGACTACTATAGTGTTTTAATGTGATGACTTTCAGTTTTTAGGGTTATTCCGTATTAAATATTTTTAGAATTTTGGGTTGAGTTTATGGGGACTCAATTCTTTAGGAAATAAATTTTTCCTTATCCAATATGATATGCTTTTCCAATAAATGGTGTTGGGTTGGTTTTGGGTTATTATTTGGTTCTCCCACCATGTGGTTTAGTGTATCTGCCACTCACACGATAGGGTCTAATAAACTTGGTATCAGAGTCCTAGGTTTGTTGATCTCCTCATACCAAAAAGAGTCTAGTAGAGTTCTATGAAAAGGTAAAGATACATATGAGAGACTACATGACTCAAGGAAATTCTCTTTCTTTGTTTCTTTCTTTCTTTATGTTATGACTTGATTCCAATTGGTATATGTTAATCCAAATTGGTATATAACTCTTCCACTCTTTTTTCCATTGAGGGTTGACACGATGTAATAATGCAGGGGTAGTAGCTCCATCAGTAAAGCAATAACTAATCCCATAGTGAGATAATGTTGTAGAGGAAAAGGTAGAGGTAGAGGAAGGAAACACCCATTAGAGGTTGAGAATACGCCGAGAATGTACCAGGGGAAGAGATCTCACCCCCACCCTAGGATTCAGTGGAGGAAGAGTTGAGATTAAGATTCAAGAAGATATTGAATTAGATGTGAGAACGCATGTATGGATGAAGGACTATTTAACATGTGATAGATTTACTATGTGGATTAGAAGGTATTGAAACCATTCCCATGGTTTAGACTACTCAGATCCTAGTCAATCATACTATCGTCATTACGATTCCTAAGATTGTAGGAACTTCAGTGCTGAAAGTTTGTTTTGTCCATTGATTATGTCACACGCCAAGCTACCCCTGAGACGCGGACACCAAACCTAGGACCACAAGTGATCCCAAGTTAACCCTACTGGCATGATCATGGTCATACTAAAGATAATAAAACTGATGCGGAAGCTAAATCATAATAAATCTGAAAAGATGGGGAATACCCATATTCTATAACTGAGATATTTGAAAACAATGAGTTTAATACAAAGGAAATGTTAAATCAATACTAAGATGAATCTAACTATGTATGAAATAAGCCTCTAAACTGGAGTAGAAGTACTTGGAAAAGCCCCCAGCTAATTCTAGCAAAAAATGAAACTAAATGACTAAATATTGAAATGACACTCATGACTGTTGTCCTCAGAGAATGAGATTCACCACTAAATATGCTTAACTAGAGATCAGAAATTTATCTATGCGTGATCTGGATGCTGAGAACCTGAACCTACATCACGAGAAGATGTAGCGCATGTATGCGTCAGTACTTGAAAGATACTGAGCATGTAGGATAGAGTAAAGCTGAAATAAATCTTAACTGAACAACATAAAAGCAAGTATAATAATCTGACATGATAAATTGAATTCTGAGCTAACTGGATGCAATGACCAATTTATAACATGATAAATTTGAATACTGAATATATAGATAAATTGTCAATGCAGAGAGTCTCACTTATCTGTGGGAGCTACTAATAACCGATAATAAAACCACATGAGCTAAGTATGGAATCTGATCTATACGCCCCATCAAGAGGACACAATATACCATGCCAAAGGTATAAAGGTATGCTGGCATGATCAATAAAATGATTGCCCACAGAGGGGACTTACAACCTACTTGGATAGTAGTTCTGGGACTATTGGGTACGCTAAACCCTAGTCCAACTCGGTATTATGCTACTTCCATTGATTCTGTAAATTTACTGATTATGTTTTAGTTTCTATAAATACAGGATAGCTCGAAACTGAACATGCAAACAGAGAACGCAACAATTAATCTGGTAATTATGCATCTATGACTGAGGCATGTGTATCTGAAGTGTTTGAAATATCTGACCTAGCATGTGTAATTCAAGAACTAAAGAAATACAAAGGTAGGGTTCTAAAATTCATGCAATAAACTGAATAATAACATATGATAATCCGATTTGGAATATATAACTAATAAGTTCATGAAGTTCTATTGAAGTTCTAGAAATCCAATGTCTAATCATGATATGGGAATCAAGAATCTGACAGAAAACTAAGGACCCAATGGGTGAAAGGAACCCACTTGTGAAATCTCACATACCTGGTGATGAAGTCCACAAAAAAAACACTTAAGTTTTGAGGCTGAAACTGCTGGAACTTGTTGCGTCTTGAACTAGGGTTCTTGAGCTTTTTCTCCTCTCTAGCTTCTAATTTTATATGTTTTGATTTAATGATTTAACTTAGATATGTTTTTTTTATGTTTCTAGGCTTAATCTGACTAAAATCTGATTATTTAGGGTCAAAACGACGTAACTTAAGGCTTAAACGAAGTGGGAAAATATCAAAAGACCCCTTGGTAAGCTGCTGTCGGACTAAATGACGGCCAGGACTGACGGTCCATCGTCTGATCGATGCCCCTTTGTTGGGTCCGTCGACTGGGCCTGTTCAACAGACCTTTATTAAAATGGGTATAACTTTTTACTCATAGTTCTGAGTTTAACAGGTCGATGGCTATGGAAAGATAATTCAATTATCTATCTGTGGGTAGGTCATGGGACATCTAATTCAGTTTGTTTTAAGATTTATGACCATTTAAAGTTGACCCAACTGCATTCCCCCTTAGCTGTCTCTAAATTTTCCACCTATGGTCCATAAGTCCACCTACGGACTGTGCTGGTCATCCGTAGATCTTGTCAGAGAGTGGGTGAATGAGGGTATTGATCGATGGTCACGGACTACGGACCGTCGTTTGACCTACGGACCATAATGGTCATCCGTAGCTCTTGTCAGAGAGTGGGTGAATAGGGGTTTCGGTCGACGGTCACGGATTATGGACCGTCATATGACCTACGGACCGTAGGTCCGTCCATCGATCAAAACATAGCCAAATTTTTCACGGCTGAGTTTTTGGGAGTCTCTGATCCCATCGACGATTGTGCATGACAGATCGTGGATTAGGCTATGGGCCATCGATGCCACTGTTGGTTGCACCTGCAGATTTTTATGTAAAGCTTGTTTTTAATATATTTTGGCTACGTGGTTTTACATTATCTCCCCCTTGGAAACACTCATCCTCGAATGAAGACTAAACTAGCTTAAATAGAGGGAGAGAGTTGCAAACCCTACTACTAAACACTGAGAACTGAGTTTCTAACTGAATTGAGTTATGAGTACATGCAAATACGCTTAAAATGCAAGTACAAATTGAGGGAACATGATTCTAAGACTGAATTCACCTATGAATGACTGGAAAACTGAAGAGGAATTACTACCTCAAGCTGGAGTGGAATCGGAAGGTAAGAGGTGAGGATACATCGCTTTCATGGCTGCTTCTGCTTCCCAAGTAGCTCCCTCTACAGACTAACTCCTCCATAAAACCTTGACTGAAGCGACTTCTTTTTTTATCAACCTTCTGACCTGAGGTCAAGAATCTCGACTAGTACATCCTCATAAGAAAGATTATCTTTCACCTCCACACTCTTTAATGGCACTACAGAGGCTGGATCACCCACACAGATTTTCAAGAGTGAGATGTGGATGACCGGATGCACTGCTACTAATTCTGCTAGCAACTCTAACTCATATGCCACCTTGACAACCCTTTTCAAGATCTTGTAAGGGCATACATATCTAGGACTGATCTTCCCTTTCTTTCCAAATATCATTACCCATTTCATAGGTGAGACCTTCAGAAAAACCCAATCATCAACTTAGAACTCTAATTCCCTTCTACTTAAATCTGCATATGATTTCTAACGACTTTGGGATGTCTTAAGTCTATCTCTAATGAGTTGCACTTTCTCCATAGCATAGAGGACTGAGTTTGGACCTAACAAAGTTGCTTCACCTACTTCAAACCAACCAACAGGATATCTACATATACGCCCATATAAAGCCTCACAAGGGGCCATCTGAATGCTGGAATGGTAGCTATTATTGTAGGCAAACTCAATAAGAGAGAAGGTGATCATTCCAACTACCTTTGAAATCGACCACACAAGATCTCAACATACCCTCTAAGGTATGAATGGTACGCTCTGCCTGCCCATCCGTCTGTGGACGAAATGTTGTACTAAGGTTAACTTAAGTACCAAGACCTTTCTGAAATGACTTTCAGAAATGAGAGGTAAACTGAGGACCTCTATCTGTGATTATAGACCAAGGAACCCCATGTAATCTCACAATCTCATTAATGTAAAGCCTTGCATAGTCTTTTGCCAAATATGTAATCTTGACCGCCAAGAAGCGAGAAGACTTAGTAATCCTATCAACTATCGCCCAAATGGAGTCATGCTGTCGCAAGTACAGGGTAATTCTGTGATGAAGTCC